AGACCCCCCAATCCCCCCCGCGTAGATGTTCCTCAGCTGCCTCCATCCTCAGCCTGATCAGCGGCCCGGGCGGGGGGGGGGGCCGGGGGCTGAACGAGCCTTTTGCTCCCCAGGACGAAGTGGGGGCCCCCGGCGTGGTGGTCGGCGTGTCCGTGGACGGGAAGGACGTCTGGACGGAAGGTGAGTCAGTTGGTGGCCCCGCTTCACAGCTGGCCCCGAGCGAACGAGGGCCCCGGTTTGCTTTTGGGGCGGTGTTGCTTGGCGAGGAAGATGAGCCCAGTGGGCCCTCACCCCAGAGATGCCTCCCTTGGGAGCCGGTAGGGCTTCTGGGGCTGCCCAGAGGTCTGGGCTTGAGGGGCACCGACCCAGGAGCCCCACAGATTTCACTTTATTTTGATTTACTTACGGGACACGTTAAGGCCGCCGTAGAGGGTGACAGCCTGGACAGACAGGAGGAAGAGCCGCTGCCGAGGCCGCGGTCGGATAAGAGGGCTTGGCCTGGGCCGAGGCAGTAACGTGAGGAAACAGCTCGGAGGAGCCCCTCCTGTCCTCTCTGGCAAACGGTTTCTTAGTCTGGTCTACCTTGTAGGGCTGACAGCTGCCAAAAAGACCCTGGGCGGCTGACCATATGTCCGACCGACTGGCTGGCTGATTGCGTACCATCAAGTTGGTATCGGCTCTTAGCGACCACATAGACACTATGTCGGGTGCACCAGTTAAAAGCGCAACATGAGCTGCATGGCTGCCCAGGTGCATTTTCTTTGCCTTGCGGGGGCTCTTCTTCCAAGGCCTTGCTTCTTCCTTAAGTGTTCCATTTGTTCTCCAAGAAGGTTCTTGCCCCTCTTCAAAATGCTTTGATAGGCTAGTATAATCCTATCAAACAGCTGTGTAGATTACCTAAATTCTGTGGAAGCAGCACTTTACCATTTGCTTATGTAATTTACAAAACGTATAACCTACCCCAGTTCTGAGGGTGTGGCACAACAAAACTAAATATGAAGAATTAAGAATAATACTTTTTAAAAATCAGTGAACAACATGGGCACCCTGAAATTAAACTAATCTAAAACCAAACGTGCTGGAACAAAAGTGCTTTATTTATAATTTTTATTTACAATTGAATTGGAATATTTTACTAGGCATGGCTTTTCCAGCCATCGTCCTGTGTAGTAAGAAAACATTTGTCCAGGGGATGGTGTTTGGTTCTTTAGCTTCCAGTCCTGTTTTCAGAGTGTAATCTCCTCTCCACCCTTTTCTGTCAATAATAAACATGCCTTCTCAAAGGTACACTTCAATTATTCTCTGTATGCTAATTCTAATTTTGCTAATTTTTCTTTGCGTATGGTGCGATTAAGAAGTCTGTTGAAAACGGTTCAGCTTATACATTTATGAACTGAGTTTAATACAGCCAAAGGAAAACCAAGAACGTAAACATCCAAATACGATTTGCATTTTGATGCCCTATAGCAGTTTGCACTGGGAATTTGTACATCAGAATTTAACCTGGTGGACCTATGAGGACTTGCTTAAGGGATTCCAGTGTGGTGACTCAAGGTGTGCCTTCTTTCTGATGCTTGTTTTCAGCTTGCCGGGCGGATCCTTGAGCAAGTCTGACTTGTTCCGTGACCCAGGGAGAGATCATTCACCTGCCTTTGATTTTGTTTTGTCTCTCCTTTTTTCCTCCAAGGAGATCACAAGCAACACCCACACTAAAATGATTAAGTGGTCCTTCTGTATGTGTTCATATTGAACAAATAAAAACATTTGGGACAGATGTGTTCTTGCTGTATACACGGCCTTTCTTTCCTCTTGCTAGTTCTGTGAATAAAGTGCTGATTCTCACTGGACCGGAAAGCCACTCTGCGAGTGCAAAATATTAGGCCAAGTAGGCGTGACCATTGCAGGGCTTATGGAGAAAGACGAGAGTCTGCGCTGGCTTGATATTTTGACCACTGAGGGTTTGGGCTGCTTCAGCGCATAGTTAGTTAAATAGTTAACTCCTTATTCCTTTGAAGGTCTAGGTTATGCTGACGTGGAGAATCGTGTGCTCTGCTGTCCAGAGACCGTCCTACGAATTGCCAGCATTAGCAAATCTCTGACAATGGTTGCTGTTGCGAAGCTGTGGGAAGAAGGAAGGCTGGATTTAGATGCTCCTGTGCAGAAATATGTTCCAGAATTTCCTGAAAAAGAGTATGAAGGTGAAAAGGTAAATGAGGCTGGTTGTTAACAGGATCACCTTCCAAAAATCTCCTCTACCACACTCAAATGGTGGAAATGTGTCATTATTTTGATTTAATTATAACTCGCATAGATAACATCAAAGTGAATTTGGGCCAATGTCTTTTAAACTTTCAGGTCACTGTTACAACAAGGCTGCTTGTATCACATTTAAGCGGTATTCGCCACTATGAGAAGGATATTTCTAAAGTCAAAGAAGAAAAAGAAAAGGCTAACCGAAAAGCTGCAAAAATAGCAGCTTCTGCTTCAAAAGAGAAAGAAGACAAAGGCACTGAAAAGAGTGACTTGATTAAAGGCAAGCCAGAACAGGAAGGCAAAAATTGCAAAAGTGGAAGGAAGAAAAGAGAGTTTGAACATGAAGAATATTATTTGAAGGACAAATTTGAGCATGTGATTGACTCATTGAATATATTTAAAAATGATCCTTTATTCTTTAAACCAGGTGAGTTGCTAATCTTCATCCATCCAGACTAAATTATGGAGTCAGTTCACACGTTAAGTAGTTGCGTTAAGTAGTTTGTTTGGTGTGTGCTTATTTAGTAAACCATAATTAAGCAAACCATTGCTTACTGGGATTTATCTACCCAGTCAGGGTTCAGCTAGCTAAACCATGATGTAGCTCAGCAATGTCTTATTTTCTTACAAAAACTTGAATTACAAATAAAAATAATAGGAATGCTAGTAGCAAGTTAAATGCAGAAGACAGAGAAAGCAGCTTATTTGTGTTGAGTTTTAACAGTCCTGTACTTTTAACTATTGCAAAATCTATCCTTGTATACTTGATAACAGAAATACGCTTTCTCTCTGAGCAGGTAGAGCCCTTCTTGAGCAGACTTAGAATACAGACCATGACTGCCTGTGGCGTACATCCGTAACGTAAACTATGTGTGAAATGGGGGCTGTCTTTTGCTTCTTTCAAGGTAGTCAGTTTTTGTATTCGACTCATGGATTTACTCTCCTGAGCGCTGTTGTGGAGAGAGCTTCAGATCAGAAATTCACGGACTACATGCTGAAAATATTTAGCGACTTGGGCATGGTATCCACAGGATTGGATGATAATGAACCGCTGATATACAACCGAGCAAGGTAAATGTCCAGGCAGGGACGGCCGGTAGGCGTGTCCCAGTCTTTGCTCATTTGGGTCAACTGAATATCGAGTCTTGTTCTGCGTGGTCCGTAGCAGGAACCCGATTCGTGGGAAGAGAGGAACGGGGATTTGTGTTGAACATAGTCGCTTGAGAAGGAATTCTACTGCATGACAGCTGCTTACCTGAATAAGAAATTTGGTGATGGCCCACCAGTGTTCTGCTTTCCAGAAGCGGAGTGGGAGCTCTTCTGACAGGGTAGGCCCATTTAGGTTTGGCCCTGGGTTCCAGGGTGTGTTCCATCCTTGTAGGAGAAAAAGCTGCACAGTAAATATGCAGTTCCCATCCATGCTGTGTTGGCTGTCTATGTTCTGGAGCATGCCATGCCCTAAGCACATATGCGTACTATTTTTAATAAAATTGGATTGGGGCATTAGCATAGTTTTCAAGAAAATGTGTATCCAGTCTGTGAGTGATGGTTTTGGAGGCTCTCCCCATTGAAAAGGGCTGTCTGGATCAGCAGTAGGAGAAACTGAGCATCTAGGAGATGTCTTCGGAAGGACTGTCAAGCGCTTAATTTTAAAAGGAGATAAATCTCATGGAGAAGCTGTCATAATTCTGTATCAATGAAGGGATCCCATAACACCAGAGAGCACTGCCATCTTGTGGCTCTCTTTTCTGTACTCATGATCTACAGCAGGGAAAAGAGAATACTTCTTTGAGCTATTGCTTTTCCAAGCTGCTGAGCTCAAGAGAATGAGAGAGAGAAAGTAAAACGGGATAGATAATTGAAACTTTGTCCCGTAGTTTTTCATCCCAGATTTGTATCACGTTTGTCCTCTATTTAATTAATGAGGTTTATCTTCTTTCAGAACTGCTTTTTTGTAGGAAGATGGTTCTCATCTGATATGGAGCTCATATTCTAGCACTCCTCTGACTGGCATGTTGTTTCCTGGGATTTTTTGGTGTGTTTTCTGCTTTTGATGAAGGCAGCCTTGGGGTGGGCTCTCACCCTCCTGTGGATCTGATATCTGAACGGATAGGATTCTGTTTATCTTGCTCAGAGAAACGAGGTTGGATGTGTGATGTGATGTGTTCCAAGATTACACTGTTAATATGGCTTTTCTCTACATAGCAGAGATTGATCAGAGCTTCTGAATGTTGCTTGGGTATTAACTGGGTAGCACTTCTCTGTTTAATATGATTTATTTGGCCACCAATGGCCATGTGGACAGGGAATTTTGTCAGTCTCCACGCATCAAAAAGAATCAGGTGGCAGAAGGCTGCTTTAGCCCAGCAAGTATACGAATGGATTATGTAGCCACTTTATGTTGTGAATGCACTGAACTCCCTTGATTTTATTCCAGGTATTACATTCACAACAAAAAAGGGCATCTCATCAACGCCCCGTACGTGGATAACTCTTACAAGTGGGCCGGTGGTGGTTTTGTGTCCACTGTGGGTGATCTTCTTAAATTTGGAAATGCCATGCTGTACAGTTATCAGCTTGGGCAGGTGAAAAAAACGGCGGCTGGAACTCTTCCTGGTTATCTCAAGCCTGACACAGTAGCAATGTTGTGGACCACGGTCCCAGTCACAGGAGCCTCCCGGGACAAAGATGGTACGTATGGAATGGCTTGGTTTGTTGCAGAGAAGAAGCAGGAGTATGGCCACTGCAGAGAGCAGCGACACTATGCCTTCCACACTGGTGGGGCAGTAGGAGCAAGTAGCGTCCTACTCATCCTTCCCGAAGAACTGAACTCTGGGACTGCAAATGGTACCTGTCTGGTACCACCCCGTGGCGTTGTCGTCACAATTATTTGTAACATGCAGTCTGTTTTCCTTGACAGCCTTGCGTTAAAAATTGCAGTGGAATTTGAAAAGGACAAGTTAGCACAACACTCTGATCAAAGCAGCTTATAGGCCTCATTAAGGTTGGGAAAGAAATGTGGAAAGCTTGAGTGATTACAAGTATCTGTAGCCCAGGAGACGTCTCTTGCTTTTAAGCAGATAGTGCTGCATTAGGTCTGGTCATTCATGGGACAAGCCATCCTGCATTGAACGGGACAGGAATGTACAGTTTTTGTGATTCAAGTGGCCAAAAGCATCAGATGCTTCACCTCCTCTTCCTCTTCTGCAACTGAGACAACTTGTGATGCACAGAACGGATATTTTGCTTGGAGGCCTACGTGGGATACCCTTGCTCTCCTAGCTAGATTTGTGGGGCAGAGAGTCTTCACTTTTACACTACAGCGAAGCGCGCCCTTGGGGGATTGCAGTCGTGCTGCTGAGGATCCCTCCTGACAGCCCTGCTCCATCTCCATGCAAGGGTGGCAAGTCCTGATCCAGCGTGGAAGAAGTTTGCAGCCAGACCGTGAATGAAACTGCTTCCCCTCATGGCCGGGGTAGTGACCGATGGGGGCCACTCTAGCAATATTGATAGTGGATGCAGAAAATCACACTGCCAATACCATGGAATTGGCTGTCCAAGATAACTTTAAACATCATACCAGGTGCTAGCATTAGAATTGTGTTTGGTGGGTTACTGCTGGTAATAGCTTGGAGGCCAAACACAATTTCCCTAGCTTCAGGGGTCATCAGGCATTTCTTGAATAGGCTCCAGTTTTTGTCTGCTGGTCAGGCTGGCAGTTTTCAGTTGTTTTCAGAATTTGGCTAAAAGCCATGGCTGGATAACTTGTTGCCAATGTGGGTAGCAGATTGTCATTGCTCTCTGTTACCAGGATCCCATGTGATCATCTCCTAATATTTGATACCATTTTCTCAAAAACAGAAAATGAAAACTAGTGTCTTAAAGCTTTCAGAGATGTTTACAAAGTTTGTCAAAGGCTGCAATTTTATGTGTGTTTTTCAGAGTTTGTTCTGTAAGTAAATAGGCACTTTTGAGCAGACATGTGTAAATGCTGGCAAAAGACCCTTTATCTGGGGCCTTTTTTTAAACCAAACTCTCCCTGCACTTTCAAATTCATATTCAAGCTGGACCTAGAAACTTCTCTCACAGGGGATTCTCTTACAGAAACTGCGTATCCCAGAATTTCCCTGGAAGTTTATTGCACGGTATAGATGCCCGCTATACCGTTTCCATTTTATTAAGCCTGTCGGCAATTTGCCTGGTAGGATAACTCAGCTGCCTTTATATTGTTTTTGGAGTTGGAGTTAGGAAAACTAACTCACCGCATTGCTGATCCTGGCTAGTGAATTTTTCTCTGTAGTTTTGTCTCAGCTTTTTAGCCAAGGTTGAGACCCTAACCCTCAGATCTCCAGAGTTTCCATGGCTTGCTTTGTTTGAGTTCTTATATTTCTCAAACATCTTTTGTATCTTTTGCCTCCTTGCATTTTATCCTGGGGCAAAATGCGAGGAGGCATTTTTTGTTGTCGGTGTGTGATGGCCCAGATATAGTCAGAGCCAAGCTCGTTTCACCCATTAAGATAAAAATGTGAAATGAGAGAAAAATGGGTGCATGCTGTGGCCCCATCTCGGTTGTCAAGGCAGTTTGCCTGGCACTGAAGAGGAACCCCTCTCCAAATGTCCCTGTGACTGGCAAGTGAAGAGGGCAGCAGTGCCGTGGCTGGGGCATCTGAACTGGGGTAGTAGCGCATTTCCATTTCTGGTTCTAGTGTGGCCTCCTTCACACCCATTAATTACATTTGTACCAGCCAGCCATGATCAAACATAGACATTTTCTTAAAGAGCCAATCCAGTCAGAGGTCCCTTATAAAATACTATTTATCTGATTTTGTGAAGTGGATGATACTGCTCCCCCCCCCCTTCCATATTGGGTGCCTGATAGAAACACGTTCTGTTCCATCCTTGAAATTTGGAATGATTTATTAGTGTTATTGGTTTAAGTGCCAAGTAATCATGTTATCCTGTATCTTGCTTTCAACGAGCCGAGCACATCAAAGAATGGCAGGCAAACCCTGTTTGACTTGGGTCCGCCAACTGCTTATGCTGGTTCCTAATCATGTAAAATTGTATTTAGATTTTTTTTTTAAGAACCTGACTAGCTTTTGTATCCCTTAATCAATAAACACTTTATATTGTTTGCACTGTTCAGTTGTGTTAATTGGCATTATCTGTTTCTTCAGCTGAATTGGCTGCTTTTCTAGTAGGGGGTGTAGATTATGGAATCCGGGAGATCCAGTGGCTTCTTTCCTTGTAGCGATATTGACATAACACGAGCAGATTACCTCCACAGGGAGAGGGAGGGGGTAATCCTCTGGTGGCATTAAAAGCCCCCACAGCTTGGTTCAGAAAAAGGAATCTCGTCCCGGATTCATAGTTTTCATTTCAAGATGCTGATTTCCTTTGTTTTATCCACCGCACGGTCAACTTTAAGTTTAGAAAACCGGCTCAGAGAGAGATTGCAGAGCAGCTTGATTCTAGAAGAGTTAAAACTTAAGATGTGCCGAATTCGTTTCCGTAGGGGAAGAAACTCCTCCGTCAGACTCCTCTAGATGGGAGGATCTGCTTGTTGCTCAGAGGGCACCGCGGTGTAACACGGGTCCCGCAGGGGTTTCTCCCGTGTTACCTTCGCTGAGATGAACGGGCCTTTGCAGCAAGCCACACCGGCCGCCTTCCCCGTTCCTCATTTCAGAAGGCTCGGGGGGCAGGGAGCGGAAGGCAC